ACAGGGTACAGACTATGAATAGACTGAGGAAACTACCTCAAGGAACAGATCCTCAGTCTGCCTGAAACGTTAAAGTCAGAGACTGCAGTTAAAAAATTACGACACAGCGAGTAGTTCTAAAAAAAAAACCAGGATCGACAGGATTGTCTGCCACCATCAACATTATTGAAAGCAAATTATTGAGGATGACCTCGAAGAGTTTACGGTATTAACGGTCATCCAAGGTCAATCCACACTCATGTCCGGTGACAACGGCTAAAGTAAAAAACTCATGCTAATGAACACTCAACTCTTCTGGAATCTAGTGATCTTAGCTGCTTTGGCCAATCAGAAACAACGATACAGCGACCATGCAAATGCGAACAATATTTCTGATACGAAGTTAGATTCATAAGCATACATGTAAAAGTTCTTCGGTACTGAAAAAACAGCAGAGAAGGTTAAGAATGCAAAAAAGTGTCTACATCAGCCTACAGATAATTATTTCTAACACCGCGATTATCGCTCATTGCACCATCTATATTTTGTAGCTCTGCGTGATTTCGAACCGATATGCGCCATTCCTTATGTTCAAAAGCTGACAAAACGAACTGAACTGAAATCAGAAACGAGTGATCCTAAGTAATGCGAAATCGAATAAAGCTTTAAACCAAACTTTTAAGCTAACGCGAGGAAAGACAGAAAAGTTGTTAAAAAAGGAAATTTGCACTGGAGAAATAAAAGTTTCTTGCTACTTCAATAAATCAAAGAAACACCAGGGGAATCTGCTGTGCAAGAACAGTGTACGTGAAAATAAGGTGATGGCGGTACTGCAAAAATACTGAAGATTTTAGATAGTACAGCCTGCAGTAGTTAAAAACGCGAACGCACAATTCAGCCACAGGAAAAAAAGCTGCTAGTTTGTTTATTTGTTGAGATCATCATGCAAAGTCGTTTGCAGAAGCAGAACTTCTCTAGTTGTGATGTCCGCTGTATCGCAGCTTTTCAACCTTTCCACCATAAGCCACTGGTTACCTCATCGCAGAATGAAACATTGCTCTCCGAAAGCAGATCTACTTCTACCCTGTTACTCCACGTTGCATGCTGGCCTCCTAGTCGACGTCTGTAGTGTGTCGGCTCAAGCACGAGAAGTTCACAGACTGAAGCAGATGATGTATGCTCAACGAATTTGTTTAACAGGGACTTAATCTCGCCATCTACCGAAATCACCTGAGTCCGGAAGAGAATAGTCATTCCTTACATGATCTTGCCATTTAACCGTCATAATGCGCCGAAGCCAACGCTACCGTATGCAGTTAAACCGTCATCCTTACTCATTCGTCAGGAACAACTGCGCAATTTAACACAGATCTGAAAAAGACAGGGTACGGGAAGAATCTTGCAAGAACAGTAACTCTTTTCTCAGCCTAAATATCTGACAGGTTTCCAAAAATAACCGAGGCTAGGACGATCCTCAATAGTGGAATCGCTAAAGATGATGTACCGGAGATGGCTAAACCAATCAATCTCTTAAGAGTTTCACCTCCCTCTTTCACTAGTAGATCAGCTTGCCGAACAGGCTCCTCATAACTTCTGATTTCCGGGCGTTAAAGAAGCAGCTGTATTGCATACGGAAGCCGCCAGAATGTCCTAACCC